GTGGAATCGACGATTGGATCTCTAGTTGATATAGCTCATGACCTTTCCCTTTTAGGTAGTTTGGTAGCATGAACGTGCATGCTCTTGTTCTCCCTTGATCTCTTTGACTCCCCATGGAGTAGGAAATTTTATGGTTTGATGGAGTGTCGATGGCACTGCCCCCATGTCATGAATCCAGGACGTCCCATAATTGCGTTGTACGCAGTAGCACAATCTAGTATCAGAAACTTTGTCTGTCGGTTAATTCCTCCTGCATACACAGGCAGCGTCACTTCTCCTATGGTCTGCTTTACTTCACCGCTAAATCCTACCAGTGGTGTGGATTTTCGCGTCAGTGCATTCTCATCCAGCCCTAATCCTTTGTAAGCATCCATGAAGAGAATGTTGGTCGAACTCCCATTATCAACGAGTGTCCTTTTCATCAGACTATTAGCATTGTCAAAGATATGACTAATGCATCATGATGTGGAGCTAGGACACACTTATCTTCATCTGAAGCAAAGCTAATCGTGCACTTCGACAGTCGCTCGCATATAGCTTTGACATCTCCATGATGAGTTCTAGCTATTCTAGTACTCTTTTTAGCAGCAGAATGAGTAATTCCACTAACCTGTGATCCTCCCGATATCACGTTGATGATTCGATCATGCTCGGAGATTGAGCAGGAGATGGTTTTCTTTGCACCTCGTCATTGCTTCTGTCGTCGATGCGACTCCTAGCCCTGTCGGACAAGTATTCTCTCAAGTGACCTTTTTTTAGTAGCTCGTTTACTTCCATTCTCAACGTGATGCAATCTTCTGTTCGATGACCATGGTCAGAGTGAAAGTCGCACCACTTTGATGTGTCTCTTCGTTCCCCTGGTGCTTTCATCTTTTGAGGCCATCTTACTCCAGATATATGATTAAGAACATTGACTAGTTCTGCAGGAGATATTGCGAGGTTACTCATGTCTGGCCATGTGGATGATGAGCGTTGGTCGCTCTCAATTTGGTTGAGTGGTCGATGGTCGCTTCTGTTCGCTTCTCTTGCTAGTGCTTTCACTGCGTGGTCTCTGGTACGGTCTGTCATCTCGAGAGGGACGCTCGTTCCTAACAACGCGCGAATCAGATCGTGGGGAAAGTAGGTGTCGATATGCAGGGTCTTCCTCCCACCTTATTTGAGCCCATGCTCTAGATAGCACATCTTCCATCGTTCTGCACTGGTACTTCGTCAGTTCCTTGTACAAATCACTGTCTGGGAGCAATCCTCTTTTGAATGCAGAGATGGCAGTGGACGTGACACATGCCGGAATGGATACTTTCTCTTTGTTGAAGCGACCTACGTAATCGCGCAACGGTTCTCCTCTCTTCTGTATCACTTCATAGAGATCGTCGGCTGTCCTTTCTATGTTCCTGCTGCTCGCGAATTGCTCAACAAAGCGGTCTGTCAATGACGCGAACGAGTCGATTGACGCGTTCGGTAGGTTCGTAAACCACTGAAGAGCTGGTCCCGTGAGGCTAGATCCAAATCCTTTACACATACTAGCTTCGCGATATTCTTTTGCTATTGCCGTTGTGAACATGCGTTGCTTGTACTGGGCTATATGATTATCAGGGTCGGTCGTCCCGTCGTACATCTTCATTGAAGGGACGATGAACTTCTTTGGCATCTCAACCAACGCATGGCATCCGTGAAGGGAGTGTCTGCATAGCAATTAGGAGCACTTTTGGTGATTGGAGGAGCTACTCCTGGAAGTCGCGCGAGCAAGAGCTCCATAGCCTCCAATCGCTTTGAGAACATAGTATGCGAGTCTTCAGATTGATGTTCCATCGTTGGTGCAAGGGGTGGAACCAATGTTTGGTTACCTTGCGCAGCGTCGGTAGCTCCTGCTCCTAGGGTTGCTCCTGTTGCACCCGTAAGTGGTGGAGTGTCGAACGATTGCATAGGAGGAACCGGTTCTCGATATCTATTGCGAGCCTGAGCCAATGACGCGTTTTCTGCTCGTAGGGTTGCGTTCTCCGCCTGGATTTGCGCAAGTCGTTCTTCGTTCTGCTTCATCTGAGCTGTGAGAGCCTCCAGCTGAGCAACGGTGACGGTCGGTGTTTCGGTCGGTGTGGTATCATCTCCCGCCGCCATGTCTCACGCAGTTAAAATTGCCCCTCCTTCTAGCGCCAAACTGTTTGGGCAAAATTTAACCGGTTCGCAAGTACAATAAACGGAATGACGCAGGAGAAGATATCTTATTAATCAATTGAATATCGAGCTACAACAAGTCAATATCAAAGATTAAACTAAGAGAATCTCGTCTGTCGCTCGTCGTAGATCGTAGTTCGTCGTATCTAGGTTGTTCGTCGCTTGCTCGTCGAGAGGCGAAGAACAAGTAGCTATTAGGGTTTTTGTGTGTTTTTCTGAATGTCCCCTTGTCCTTGTTAGGACCTCTTATTTATAGGTGTTGTCGGTCCTAATCCTTATCGAGTTGGGCTTTGACGTCGGTCGTAACTTTCTATTTCCTACGTCGGTCGTCATTCCTAATTTCCTTTTAATTAGATATGCACGTCGGTCCTTTACAACTTCCAATAGATTTAGGAAATTGTACAAACCATTGGTCGTTGGTCTGTTAGTCTGCTAAACCATTAATTAACATCGTTGGTCGCTGCCTCGTTATGTCGATGCTAAGGCCTTTTAGACACTAAGAAGTAAGATCGACCGGTCGTCACATGGTCGTCAGTCGATCATATCTCCAGCTTATAATAGAGTTTAAGGAGCGACCGGCTAGTGAATTTATTTCACCCAACAATGACCATTACCCATGGCTTGTATGTCCATAGACGATTCTCCACATGGAAGTGATGGAAATCGTTGGAAAATGGTCCACTAAGAGCTCCAATAACTCTTGCTCTCGAAATGGAGTTCATAGGGGTTGGATGGATTAGTTTGAGCAATGATCCTATGGCCTCCAAGGCTTGATTCTCACTGGCTAACCCCCTGTTTCTGAGATCAAGTCTTGGTTGATAGCTTTCACCTTGGGAAAGGGTTAGCTAGGCATTGAGAAGCTCAATATCAAGAGATACCTTGATACAAGTTGTTTAAGAGCAAGATCGATTAAGTATAGCTTTCCTCTGATTGTTAAACCCTGTCTTAGACCCTAATTCTCGCTTTAGCTTGTTAAAGTCGCTGTCTTTATTGCTTTTTACTTCAACTCGACCCTAAACTCGATCGAGCTCGGTTACTCTGTTCCCACTCGACTCGAGTCCTTGGTCGAGCTGTTGCTCTACTGCTTTATTTACTTACTGCATTGCTTTACTGTTTCATTTAGGTTGTTAGTGTTACCTCATATTTATTACTGCTTGCTTGACTTCCTTGTCTTTTCATATTCTCATAGAGTGACAACTTCTCCCATTTTGGATTGATACCCTTATGCTATAACGTCTATAATGGTTAAAGGGAATTGTTGACTGTGTTTGTGTTTGCATCTTACCACCTCATCATATACCACTGTTGCATTCCACCACATCTCATTTCATATCTTTCACACCCACACACAAATCTTATCATCAGTTTCACAAAAATTAAATCTGGGTTTGCCATTGAAAATCAAACAAAACTGCCTATAACGATTACCGCGTTACACATGGTTGGTGTAATCAAACAGACATGTCCTCTAGGAAACTAAACAATTTAAGATTGTTGAGATGTTCTAGACTTAGAGCACATACCATACAATCAAAGAACAATATATTGTTTAAGAATAGTAATATTTATACGAAATTAGACGGAAATCTAAAGTCTGATAATAAAATAACATAAGATTCTAAAATATTTTTTCCCATAGGAGCAGGATGTCCACAAATGGTTGGTCATTTTATGAATTTATGAATTTTCACTGGAAGAGCTCGTCATTGCGCGAAGATCCATCATCTTCGCTCATTTCTTCAGCTTCAATCCTCCACCTAATAAGAGAAATTATCAATTTCATGAGAAATATTGTCCATAAGATGTCATCTTTTCTTACAACATTAACATTAATCTGTAAAAAAATATGCTAGAGAAACTTACGTCTCTTCACAAAATCTGTCAGCATGGCAGTTCACTGTCCATGGTGGATTAAACTGGAACGATGAAATCTTTCCCGGATTTTCAACGTGTATTCTAGCTCATACATTAGAGTTTTCACATATGTCAAAGGTTAATTTGTATACGCGTGATAATTATATGCAAGTACCTAAAATAATATATAACTATATAGCCTTTTTCTAGTACTAAAACATGGTTTTTATACTTACGATGATGAGGTATGATTCGCCAATTGTGTAAAACACAAACCATCTCTATTTCTCCTTCAAACAGCCATCTTTCGTAAAATAGATCGGCAAGATCTCCTTTGATACGGCACATAATCTGGTAATCTTTGAGTTTTACAGTTTAAAATGTAACTTACATTAGTAAAACATTGGGATGATATCTTTACTGTCTAAACAACTGAAACCCGAAGAGTTAGAATAAACTTACTGGTTGTTTTTCCATCCGCACGTCTTATGGAATCATCCCTCATAACAAAGAGTTTTTTCACATAACTTATCCGTCCTATAAAATCTGAATCATATTGCAAAATAAAGATGATTAACAAAAGTGATATAAAAAGTACATCAAGGACAATTCATGAATGTTACTTGTACTTTCCAACATGATAAGTTCCACCCATTGCGCTACTACGATGGACCACGTCTTCAAATTTCACCAAATCCATCAGTTGATAAACCTTTGGATCTACAGCTCGGGTGACTTTTGTTCTCCCTATGAGGACTATCTTTGCTCTGATCCTCGTCAAGCGTATCTCGGATTGGTCAATCACCACAGTAAAGTTGCGAATACATTTCCAGTCATTCAGACATAGAGATCTCTGGAAAGTTTCACTCAAATGATGTTGACCGGTTGTCGCTACAATTCTCTTCCCCTATATTTTATAACAAAAACTATGTTACAATTCTCTTCCCCTATTGACCGGTTGTCGCTACAAGTTGTTTGAGAGCAAGATTGATTAAGTATAGCCTTCCTCTGATTGTTAAACCCTGTCTTAGACCCTAATTCTCGCATTAGCTTATTAAAGTTGCTGCCTTTATTGCTTTTTACTTCAACTCGACCCTAAACTCGATCGAGCTCGGTACTCTGTTCCCACTCGACTCGAGTCCTTGGTCGAGCTCTTGCTCTACTGCTTTATTTACTTACTGCATTTCATTTCTGTTTCATTTAGGTTGTTAGTGTTACACCATATCTATTACTGCTTGCTTGACTTCTTTGTCTTTTCATATTCTCATAGAGTAACAACTTCTCCCATTTTGGATTGATACCCTTTATGCTATAACAACTATCATGGTTAAAGGGAATTGTTGACTGTGTTTGTGTTAGCATCTTACCACTTCATCATATACCACTGTTGCATTCCACCACATCTCATTTCATATCTTTCACACCCACACACAAATCCTATCATCAACCTCCCTTAGTGTCTACGATATCCTCGCATATAAATTATGAAATAAATACATAGATGTTAAGAATAATACATAACATCACTCAAGATACTGTATCAAGGGTTTAAATACAAAATGTAATATAAAAAAAACAAAGATTCCCAATCATAGACAGCATATTAAAGACTCGTATTGCGTATTAAGTTTCTTAAGAATAATAAGTATTTTCAACACATATTCCATGTGATGTAAAAAGCAAGAGAATAACCAATACTTTGCCTTTGTGTCCTTTTTGCATCTATCATCGGCTTCCTCCATAATCTTGCATCACGACAACTCACTGGATCCAACGAAACAGACGTCGGATACACTTCGATCAATAGTTTAACTACCTTATTAGTCATTGCATATACAAAATTTTACAATAGTAAAATAACCTAGAAACATCTTACACGTCGCAAAAATCGTGGAAGTCGCATCCGTTTTGCTCACAGCCTTGTTCTCCATCTTGCTAAGTCGAAGAAACCGGTTACGAGATTAATCCACCAAATTTTTTGTCTCTGAAGGTCAGACTGGTTAACTTTATATATACATATATATATATATATATATAAATTTGCATATTATTAAAATGTTAATTTTATATTTTTTATAAGTAAAGTATATACTCAATATTATAGTAATAGTTATCTTTCTGACGTATTTTAGTATAGTTTCTAATATTTACGATACATGAGAATCTAATATGCTAAGTAGATATGTACCATCGTAGCAAATTTACTATTATCCTAAGATATATTAGCATATATCAAAATTTCTATTTATCTTAATATCAGTTTTGGCATATTAAAATTTACTATTATCTTCAAAATTGAATATCAATAAAATAACAATAGAGTTCTCCAAATATATTTTAATATATGGAATTTTATATTTTTATCATATTCTAAATGTATCTGTTTTTTTGTTAAGTTTTCGTGATAACCGACATGTGTATCATAGGATAACATTAAACGTATATATAAATTTCGTAATTGTATGACGCGCTGTTATTGAGGTCATAACATATATGTATGAGATACCACATGAAAACTATTCCGGAGGATAAAAACATGGTGATGACTTGATATTTTGTATGCTTCAAAATTCATCGTTACATGAATTAGTGTAACCGTATGCGAAGCTGATGAAATCCTACATCAGATATATAATTTATCTAACAAATAATTGCGCTCTATAATATTGATTGTTAAAATCAAAAAACTAAAAAATATATACGACCAAGTGTGCACGTAGAGACTTTGTTGAATACAAATTTCCGAATTTATCATCACTGCGTGCTATAAATTGTGCTAAAATAATAATGTCCACGATAGAACACTGCTCATTATCAATAACATAAAATTTAAATTCCATATAATAAACCCAATAAAACACAATAACAATAAATAATCAGAGACATTAAATATCAACCATAAATAGCTCGTAGCATTCCAAACCATAACATAGTCGATAATGCTATGATAGTTAACCATAATGAGAAATAGTCTACGCAGATCCCTGCGCGAACAATACCATCCACTTGCTTCCAAAATTGCGAGTTGACTTCTCCATTAGCTCAGCCTTCAAAGCTAAACTAGAAGCCTCTTGCACAGTCCATACGGTCTGCAAACCAATTCTCTCTTGTATAGAGCTTCTTAAACCACTGATGTATCTAGCCACCTTTTGATTATCTGTCTCTCCTAGATCATTGCGTTCAGAGAAACGCACAAACTCAGCTGTGTACTCTGTCACTGTTCGTTTACCTTGAACACATTCGAGATACATCTTGTAGAGAATCTGCTCATAGTCTTCTGGTAAGAACCGATCAAGCATCAACTGCTTCATTCTACGCCAAGTCTTGACTGGTCCTTTTCTTTGCCTTTGTCTTTGGATAACAAGTTTATCCCACCATACAGCAGCAGTTTTCTTCAGCCTGATTGCTACCATCTTAACTTGTTTGCTCTCAGGAACACCCATCACATCGAAGAATCTATCAACATCAATCTGCCAATCCAGAAACTCCTCCACTCCCATAGTTCCATAGAACAATGGAATATCAGCCTTTACTCTATAATCATGATTGTTTTGTCGATTCTCTTGATCAGCTTCTTCTTCGTCCTCAAGATCTTCATCATCAGAACTAGAGATTTCAACATTAACACCACGATTGTTTCCACCATGTTGAACCCTAACTGGCTCTGCGGCACGATTGTTTCTGCCCTGTTGAACCCTAATTGGTTCTCTTCCCCTATCTCTTTGCCCTGCGTTAACAACTTGATTGGTAAAAGCTGTTAATTGAGTCGTTAACGCCGCCATCTGATTCCTCAAAGCAGTGAGGTTCGTGGTTAAAGCCTCCGAAATACCCTCAAGATCTGCTTTGGTCAACGGTTGATCTCCCATAGCTGTTCAAGCTCGAAAAAGAGACAGGAGAAAGCCTGCTCTGATACCACTTGACGCAGTCGGAAAACCCTAGGAATAGCAAGCACTAAACCTAGATTGAATTCAAGTTCACAAGCATGAACTTGAAGAGAAAACTCTGGAAATCCACCAGATTAGAGAAAAGTCTCTGCTTTGATTAATTAGAATAATAAGATATGCCTCATGGCTACAACTTATAAGTGTTTATATAGAAAACAAAACCCTTGAATATCCAAAACTAAAAGGAAAAACATAATTAAAGGAAAAGGAAGATTAGGAAAATCTCAAAAGGAAAATAAGGAAAATCTCTTAAACGTCTCCTACATCACTCAACAAATTAAAAAGAGGTTTGGAAAGTACATACCTTGTCATAGAAGTCTGCTATACTTGAAATTTCCTCAGAATCTCTTACAATTTGAACACATTCTTAAGCATATATCTGAGAAAAAACAACAGATTTGGTTAGTCTTTCTTTCACGTAAATGCCTCATACTTAACTTGTTAATTCCACCCAACAAGACGAAAACCAACCCCATTTTAACAAGATATACAGGCAATTGTTGCTCATGGATATGCTTGGCCCTCGCCTCTAGGATCTTTGGAATATTTCTCATAAAGTTGGACTTAAATAACACCATTAGAATTAGCAGCATTAACCAGGTTCTGTCTCATATGATCTTCATCTCAATCACATATAATTGCATGGCTAACATACATGAAAACTAATGTCTATGTGTATATGTCTGTGGATATATGTAAGCACTAATCATTGGTGAAATAACTCAAATTATTAAATCTATATTATAATAAGAGGAACTCTCTCAAGATGAGATGAGTGAATGTTTACCCTTAATCCCTAACGCTTCATCTTCCTTGTCATCGAACGGCCACGACCGATCAAAGATAAACTACATGATCTGGAAAACGCAAGAAGTTGTATAGGGACCTTAATTACCATAATCGGTTTGGGTTGAGAAAGGATAATCTATGATCAACTTAGGGCCTGATTGGTTCTCCCGCTACCACCCGCAAACGCAGCGTTTGCGGTTCGTAGCGGTTTTCGGCGGTTTATAACAATCACGACAACCGCTTTGAATCGCTCTATACCACTCTGTACCGCTCTATATCGCTGAAAATCAAAAGCTCCTTTCCGCAAGCGTTTGCGGTTGCGGGCGGTTGCGGGTGGATAATTAAAAAAAAAAAAAAACACAAACTTATATAAAATCCGAAAATAAATAATAATATTTATTAAAAAATAAGATTTGGATAATAAAATCACAATATAAATAAAAAATTAGTACTTTTAGTCAATATTCATTAAAATCATATAATACTTATATATTTATAAGTTCTACAAATCAAAATTCTCTTCATAAATATTCTTTTCATACTAATACATATATATCTAATAAATAAAATTGTAAAATAAATTTAATTTTCACATTAAATATATATTTTGAAAATAAAATCACATTTTTATTTAAATTATAGAAATTAAAAGATAGACGTAAGTATTATACACATATTATTCTTTATAAAAAAATTATTTTTAATTATGTTGAACCATAAATTTAAAATTTTCATTATAAATATTTTTGATATTTTTATAATTATATAATGTGTTTATATTATTAATTTATTGTTTAACCGCTATTGCATCCGCAAGTGAACCAGTCATAAGTAACCCGCAAACGCATCCATTTTCAATTGTTATGCCAGTCGTACAAACCGCTTAATAACGCTACTAATCACAACCGCCCGCTTCCGCAAACTCCCGCACCCGCAACCGCAACCGCAGCGGTTAAACCAGTCAGGCCCTTAAAGTTCGATGAAAGGATAATCTATGAACAAACTTACTCAATGATGTATGTGCAGTGCAATATCTTGGATTTATGTGCAGTACAAACTTACTCGATGATGTATGTGCTCCCCTTAGGATTCCGATGTGGCTTTGCTTTTTAATAATCTTTGGCTGAAGTACATGTTTATAACCTAGCAATGTTCAGGAGATCAAAAAAACAAAATATATTAGAAAATATTTTCTTACGTGGGGGAATCAAAGATCCTGCGTCTGTGAAGTAAGACGAGAGATATCATATCATACATCTCATGAAGATGGGCCAAGAGAGTATGAAAAGCAGACCTGAGAGTATATGCACAAGCATTCTGCTCAAACTCTGTTTTCACCAACAGAAATTCAAGAAAAATCAAAGTCAGTCTCTTCTTATTCCTATTCTCAATTGAGAGCCCATAGTTTATCCAAAATCTAGAACTAAAAGGAAAGGAAACCGAAATATCTTAGTCTCATTTCAAAATATAAATGCATCAGTTTTTAATATCCGATCCTGCAAACACAATATGAGAAACATGATTCAACAAGTGAGTTCATCTGATTAGAGAGACCTGTGGGATCACGTTTTGCTTCGTGAGACTCTCAAAGATTAAGACAAGCGTGTAGGCTCCACCGAGAACTGCGACGGTGGCTCCGACGTCATGCAACAGCGAATTCGTCGTAACCGCAAAGTAGATCAGAGGGTGGCGAGCGCGTAACTGACCGGAGGAGCCGACACTGGTCAAGCCAATGAGACAGGGAGAGATCGAGATATTCGGCGAACAGAACCGGGGCGTCCAAGCGTGTCCATTTCCGGCGCACCGCCGCGTCTCTCCTCTCTGTTCTCCATGAATCGGGCGGTCTCCACCACGGAAACGAACTCTAATGGCATGAGGAAGAGAAATCCGGTGATAATCGGAGTCAGATTCTTTTGTGTTCAATAAGGGATTCCTCCTCTCCCTCACGACGGAAATATCGAGAAATGCGATTTCTTCATTTTGCTGTTTTACCTTTTTTTTTAGTCAGCCAATCATGCTTTGACACGTAAGGGTATCAAGAAGCACCAAAATCTCTTCATTTTTATATCAGGCTTATTTTCTGGTTAAAACATTATTTTAAAAAAAACATCAGCTTAAACCCAATTTAAAAACTCACCTAGAGATTCATAAACCCCTTGACAAAACGGTCACAGCGGCTGCCGTTTAGTCGTAACTGATATGACATCGTTTTGGAAAAAAGGTTTTAAGAGTGTCGAATTCGGTTTAAGTTGTTCAAAAAAAATGTCGAATTCGGTTTTTTTGACTCAAACAGACATTCCGGTTTGACATAGTTTTGTTTTCAGACTCAATTCACTCCTTCAAAATTAAATATAAATATTATTAAATCTTACTAAACCAACCCATTTTACTTAGCAGCCAGAATATTTTTGTTTTGCTTTTTATTTTTAAACCCGACCCGGTGAATCGTTTAATCATGTCAACGAAAGCCATGCCAGAAAAGAAAAGAAAAGAAGAAAAAAGATCCACAACAAAAGATTGAAGAAGAGACTACTACGTTGCTTGATGATTCTCAATCCGACAGTGAATTGAGGTCGCGGAAAGCAATAGTAACGGTGCTGGAGGTAGAGATCCATCCGTATAAGTGTAGAAAATGTCTGATGTACTCAAGTCGAATCTCGGTGGTTGAGAGCAGGAATAACTCGAGGTTCGAACTATTCTCAGGAAATGTGGATTAAAAATCCATCTTTGCTTTTAATGTTTTCGAACTGTTCTCGAGAAATACGATTATTTATCACTCGAAAATTCAAAAATATACCAAAAACCCTAAAATACTCAAAAAAAACCAAAAAAATAATTGTAAATCCGATTTAAAAAAAATTAAAATAGTGAAAATACATCTGAAAATCCGAAAAAAGGGAAGATTACTTATTTAGCACAAATTCTTTGATTTATTACTAGTATGACTCTTAGGGGGTGTTATTGGTTTGATATATTAGAATCAACTCCAACAGATTTAAATACATCAGATTTTTAAAATTTTGGTTCATTTAAAATGATTTATAATTCAGTTCAAAATCTATAGGTATAGGATTTGTTATTAGATTTTAAAATCTATGGCAGCGTATTTACAAAATTAACATGATTTGATTTGATTTCTCCAATAGAATTGAATTCAACTAACAAATAAATATTTCAGAATGTAAAGGAAAAAAAAAACATACAAAACAAAAGAAAAGAAAAAAGACCTTAGTTAACACATAAAAACCTGAAACAGAATTGTGATATAGAACATGAACTAACACGAAGATAAACATGAAATTACTAAGGATAAGTATAACCATTGCATAGTTATATCATATCGAAATAGAATTGTGATATAGAACATATTAAAATTATCATTATAATATTAGTAAGATTTGATACGATGATCATCAATTCCAATGTTTTCCTTGTGTCACAAGCATTAATAACATGTCTACATCTGTATCATCTTCCTCGTAAGAAGCTCGTTCCATTATTGAAAAATCTACAATAACAATATTGATTTAAGTCTTTAAGATCACCATCAATAGCAGTAAAATTTTATTTGAAGAAATTTTTTAACAATTTAAATTTGTTGGTTGCTGTAAAAGTTCAAAAAAAGAAGAAGAAGAAGAAGAAAAGGTGGAAATAATGGAAAAGAAGAAGAAGAGGTGGTATCTTACGACTTACGCTAGGCGGAGAAGAAATGATGAGTGCTAATGACTGTTGGCCGAGAAGAAAATGATGAGGGCTAATGATATTGATAAATTATAGTTAACTGATCACAAAATCTGAGGATAAAAGGTTAGATTTTGATTGTTATAATTTACACATGAATGTGATTTTAAATCCAAACAAAATCCTTCACATCAGTTCTATTTAACAAAATCTAATAAATTTGAATAACACAAGACTTTAACTGATTCATTTAAATCCTTAATTGAATAACACTGGATTTCAAATTCTTTTAACTAAGAGATTCCAAATACATGAACCAATAACACTAAATTTTAAACTCTTTTAATGAAATGATTCTAAATACATAAACCAATAACACCAAATTTTGTTAAAGGATTTAAAAACCATAATCGAATAACAGTGGATTATAGTTAGATTTAAACTCTATTAAAAACCATAAACCAATAACACCCCCTTATTTATTTATTTTTTTTCAAACTATTTTTATTTTTATTATTGACCATTTTTTATGTCCAAAAAGTCTTATATCCTATGTTAGAAAAAAACATATTTACAAAAATACCATTATTTTTTATTTCCACGTCAGCAAAAAACAGATAGTAATAACAAAATTGCCATCTGAGAGTAAGTCTGTCACATAAATCTATTAACCAATGATGACAGATTTAAATTAACTGACAAACTTATTTAAGATAACAGACTTTTATGTCAGCTTTATTTACTATGACAGACTTGTGTGTATAAATCTATTTTGTGAGACAGCAGATTTGTTTTTCCCATCACACTTATTTCCCGTGGAACATTATCTCCTAGATTTGTTGTGTTATGACAACAGATTTACCAATTTATGCCAGACTTGATTTTTCTTGACAGATTTATTTCAAAGACTTATTTCAAAGATCGCAGACTAATGTATATATGTGACCACAGATTTAAAACTTGAGGTCTCAATGACAATAGACTTATCATTAATATGTATTAGTCTGTCATCATTAATAGACTTATTTAATTTAAAACCATAATTACTAGATTAGCATAAGCGTGGTAACAGATTTATTTTAAGTCATAGCAGATTTATATAATTCAGACCACTTGATTTATTTGGTGATAGGCTTTTTGATGATTTTTCTGGTTTTTCTTTGATAACAGATTTTTGATGTAACAGACCAAAAATCACCAAGTTTAAAATTAGGTTCCACATTTCGACCAAAACGAGTTAATCAACATCTTTAAGTTAGAAATATCTTCACTAAACCTATATGTCTGTACGAGACAAAAGAAGGGAGGCTAGGTCTAAGTTTTTGTGGCTTTAATTTCTTTGCTGGTTTAACTTGATATGGTTGCTTGAATATAATCTCTTCTACCTTTGTTTACATTGATTTTTTCGGGTGTTTTGTCATCATCTTCGGGTAATTGTTAGCACGAGTGTAATTTATTCAAAACTAGAAGTATAAGTGTGGTTTTTGGTCACATAACTTTTGTTTGGCGATCTAGATTCTAGAGATAGTGTTAAGTAAAATAACAAACTACTTTAACAAGATAAGTCGTATCATCACAAAGGGTACGTCGAGTATGAACACACTATGTAGACAAGCATTTATCTTAAACATGTGCTCGTGAATTTGGGAAGCAATATCACTAGTCTTATGAAAGACTTGGTGGCTTTGTAGTACATAAGGTTATGCTTTAAAAAAAGAAAGTTCTTACAACTCATGTTTGGTCACCTGAAAATGTATGTAGTACGTGTATGCTTTGGTCTAGTGCACTATATAAAACATAATATTATTCAAAGGAAAGAAACAAAACAATATAGAGTTTAAGCTCCAACGACAACGGTGGAAGTAAAAATACACAATGGATATTGGACTAGGTTTGCCTTACACGTGATGAGCTCATCCCAATTTTGCTTCGGAAGGCCACGACGGCGGCGAAATTTGCCCAGAAGGTGGCAACGGCGAATGTTGGTGAGAAGATGGTGATGGAGAACATGAGCTAGGGTTAAGTCGGTATGTTTAAAGTGAAATAAACTATGATATACACAATATAATGAAATTGGAATATTAAAAAGGAATATATTAAAATTTCTAATTTACTTTTGATATAATTAATAATTAAATGAAAATGGCATGAGATGTAATTACTAGGAACTACATTGGTTATTTGGACTTTTGACACAAATTGTATGCTATTCTAGTAAGTGTTTTTTTATGGGTGCTAATCTAGTAATAAACTGTTGAATTAGTGTTAGTTTAAGTAATTTTCTCAAAAGAATATCGAAAAACATAAAAATATTATATTTATAATATCAAAAATAATCTGCAATACCCATAATTTGGGTATCGATTCGGTTCGGATATTACCCAATAGTCATGGGTATTAAATATTTACCAAATGGGTGATTTGCTATACGCAAAATCAATCGGGTATGGGTATTTCGGATCAATACGGTTTAGGTTAAAAATTCTAGGCCTACCGCAAACATATTTGATTTTAGAGAATGTAAAGAGCGATATAAACCGCACATCTGAAGAAAATATAAACAACAAAATATTTATAAATTTCAAATGACAACTAAAATAAAAATAACAAAATTTTGTAATATTCACATTCCGCGCATCACGCAGGCTTAGCCCTAGTTTAAAATAAATGGCCGCACCGTCTGAAAGTCAAATGGAAATAAAGAAATTGTTGCCAACACCTAAACTATATCATGTGATCAAATGGGAACAAGTCTCGTGAATCAATTAACAAATTTTGGTCAACAACATACTTTTCAAACATCAAGTTATGTTTTCCTCGCTTCATTCTTTAGAATGGAATGCAGATTAGTAATTTGAAGTTTTTGTTTAGGAACTCAAACATGACCTGAAGGTAATGTCATTAATTATACTGGTCATTCTTTTGAAGAAGTTGAGCTGATCAAGCCGTATCTGTTGACCTACGATAACTAATGTAACATAGGATTAGATGCAGCAAAATGTAGCTGGTGTGACTTGGTTGGATAGCTGTTAGTGAAATTAGGTTTACGAAAGATTCTGAGCAGATTGTTCGGGTGTGGCAAAATTTTCATCTATTGGTGACTCGTGATGTTCAATAAAAAGTTCTAATCAGCGTTATTGTTCGAGAAGTTTCATTCGCTCTCTACACCAAGTCCTTCAAATTTTAGGCATACTGATACTGCTTTGCCCATTAGGGAGCGGAGGTCCCGCAGGCGTTGCTAAATCTTTAATTTTCTTGCCAATTGCCCATAGAGAAAGGAAATAAATAATATTTGTTGGAAGTGGGACCTGTGAATCAAAAGAATCATAAACAAGAAAAAGACAGACAAAAGTTGAATACATTTATGAGAAAATAAGATCAAACCTTTTTTTTGTTGTAACATGTTCCCAAGTATGATTATATTATTAGTTTATATGTTAATTCGCACAGAGAGAGAGCATGTTTGTCTAAAGAACAGAAATGAACAAAATGCAGATAAGAGTCTGAGAAAATAAGTCGTCGGATTTGATCGAATTTCGTTGTCTAATGAACAAACCCATCTCAGAAATTACGGATCAGAAGAAACCCAGAATTGACAAAAGCATCATCCGCAATTTGATTCGATTCGACAATTTTGATCAAAATCAGATTGTGTTAAAAAAAATGAAGCAGCCGATCGAATTCCGATTAGGAATTGACTAAACACGAAGAGACAAGAACGTCGTATTGGTCGGGGAAAAGACAGAGAAGGAGAGAGTACCTTAGAATTTTGCGAGAAACGGATTGAGAGAGGAAGAAGAGTTGTGTTGTGTGATGGTTGAAAAGGGAAAAACAACGCGCGACTTTATTAAAGGAAAGAGAGAGACTGAGAGAGAAAGTAGGGAGAAGCGGAGGAAGAAGAAGAAAGCACAACTTACGACCTGGTCACCACTCTCTCCTCGCCTCCTTCAATTCAGCTCTTACCTTTTTCTGGTTTTTTTATTGAAAAATTTAAGGGTACTTTATGAACAAAGTCCTTCAACTTTAACCAATTCTACTTTACAACCCTCAAGTACATTTTACGATTGTTTAAACCCTTAGTATCAAATCAAGTCACACAAAAACAATATAATGTCGTCGTTCGAATGAATATAACGAACGAGTTTCTTCTTTTCATATGTATTTCAATTATCTTTTATTGTGATGCAATTGCAATAATTGCAATAAAAAGTTTGCTTTCTTTTTGATAAAGTATAAGCAATCAATTGTTGCATTCCTCATTTTCTGTTGTTTCATTAGTTATTGTTTAGTAATAATCGTTGGTGATCAAGTTAACTTTGCTGCCTAGTTGTAGCGACTGCCTAACCATCTCACCTAACGTGATTCGCCACCGAATCGATAGACAAATAATTTTTCTTAGACATACTGTATGTTATATTCGACTTTATTTTATTTTATTTCTCTACGCGAGTAATAAATAATTGAAATTTGACTCCAACAGATAAAATCTAGCCACTGTATTATGGAGAAATAAAGATTGCAATTAAACAACGTAAAGAATAATAAAAACTATGTCTAGTTTGCATGATTTTTAACCAAGTTTATAGAAACTAAGTATTAGGAAAGTAAATCGAATAAACTCAATACTAGTTTTGGCAAACATGACAATGTAGTCTAGTGTTAATGTTGTTGATACTTTTATTCGGATTCAATTCTACGTATTGCATGTTGTTAACATATATTAAAATTGATATATAATTTAATGTGAATATGTCACAATTTTATAAATTTGTTCAAGTGATAGTAATTCATATACATTATTGGTATAAAACATTTGGGTTTATCTATCTCTTCTTTTTTCAAGTTCAAGCATTTGTTTTGAGAAAATGTTGTTTCGTGTAAACTCAAGTCAATGGTGTTTATGGAGAGCCGCTTCCATATTCTGATAGTGATGAAGTGATAATACCCCGACTATTCCAACATTTAGAACCGGACCAACCGGTTACTTATTTTTGTCAAAAGGGTCAATTTTGTTCCTTTTTGTCGAAATTAATTACAAACAAGGTGGTTGTCCCGCACCTTGTGCGGGTACAATATTTTTTAAATACAATTATTAATTAAAGATTTAAATAATATAAGTAGTACAACTTTTTATTGTATTCATCGTTTTTGTTTTCGCAAACTTCTTATTTTTGTAATCTTGAGGTGTCTTATTTTTATCTTCTCTTTCTTGTTCTTCTACGTAATATTCTTCATTTGTTTTGGAATTTTCTTCACATTCCATTATTTCTTCTTTCCTTTCTTTTTCCTCATGTTCGACTTTTCTTTTTCTTTTCTAAATTTTTCATCTTCTTTTTCACTGTTTTCTTTTCTTTTACTTATGTATCTATTATGTCTTGTTTGTGTCTTGCATATCACCTACCAATTCATTTCGATAGTTAAAATTTTCAATATTTTTGAAATAGATTCTATCTTTATATAGTTGAGGTCTTTTAAAAATTTATTAGTTTTGTTATCTTTCAATTCTGGATTTTCTTTAGTTGTTTTAGTTTTTTTTTTCTATTTGTGAATGTAATTTTGAAAGTAGATATAAATTTCAAATAAATGATTTTTTTATTATGAAATTCTTCTGTAATAATTCAAGTTTTAATTTCTTCTTTCCTTTCTTTTTCCTCATGTTCGACTTTTCTTTTTCTTTTCTAAATTTTTCATCTTCTTTTTCACTGTTTTCTTTTCTTTTACTTATGTATCTATTATGTCTTGTTTGTGTCTTGCATATCACCTACCAATTCATTTCGATAGTTAAAATTTTCAATATTTTTGAAATAGATTCTATCTTTATATAGTTGAGGTCTTTTAAAAATTTATTAGTTTTGTTATCTTTCAATTCTGGATTTTCTTTAGTTGTTTTAGTTTTTTTTTTCTATTTGTGAATGTAATTTTGAAAGTAGATATAAATTTCAAATAAATGATTTTTTTATTATGAAATTCTTCTGTAATAATTCAAGTTTTTTTAAAATACACCAAAAACTAAACCCTACCCTAATATAAACCCTACACCCAAACCCAGTGTAACACCACCCCCTAAATAACCCAAACCCTTGTAACACCACTACCAAATAACAACCCCTCCCCCCAATTCTGTTTATTTTGCTTGTTAAATAGGACTAAGTCGGTTGTAAAATCTAGAGTTTTTTTAAAATACCTAATTATTTGATTTCTTCCAGAAAAGTGGTGCGGTAATATGATAGTTAGGATATTTATTTAAGTGATAAATATAAATCGAGGAAAAAAGAAAAGGATAATTATCAATATTTAATAAGGAAATAATAAGGAAATAATGAACTTTTATATAAAAAACGAAATTGTGAAATAATTAAAAAAGGAAATTCAGAAGATTTAATAATAGATTTTCATTAAGGGCATCTTGGTAATTCCGCGGCTGAGAGTTAACGTGGTGGCTCCATTCACGAAAATTGATTTGCAAATACTAATATGATTAAAAATTCTATAAGCAGCCTAATTTTGGTTGACTTTCATTTTCCCCACAAGCGAAAGGAAACAAAATAGACGTCAATTTCAGTAGTTAGAAAGAAAATGTTGCAGCTCCTTTATACGTTTCTTTTATAGAATTCAGTTTGTTTTTGTGCTTCAGAAATTTCACAAGCTTTGGTGTGTCATAATAGTCTGACTTAAGAATAAAACTACACGGTCCAAACCGCTATAAATAAGTTTTTCTTGGTCAGAGTATAATATTATATTTTATATATATTTTGTATATTTAGTGTTTGGTAGTTTGAAAATGCTTCAACAGTTTCCAAACATATAAATTCCAAAAATTGAACGGGAACGTTCACGTTCCTTTTTGATGAGTTTTGATGTTTTTGTGTTCTCGATATGTTAACCAAAAGTGCTATTTGTCCAGTTTTTTCGGTCTCTGTTGTGTGTATAAATTAAAAGTGTGTTGATTGCCATGGACCAAAGTCACAAAATTTGCATCATTTTTGTGACTTTATAATCAGTTGTTGTCATTCTTCTTTAGTTAACAAATTATATAAAAAAAAACATCAACTGAAAGGTGGAGATTTGTTTGTTTAATACGTAAGGGCCTGCCTTGTAAAAAGAAATCAAACCGAACTGTATAGTCCGACCAAATCTGACTCAAAATGAACAAAGAAGCGGCGTCGTATTTAGCATTCAGGATAATCAAACAAAGTTTCAAAACTCGATTGAGAAACAGAGAAGAAGAAGAGAACACTCGCAATGAAATCAGCTAAACCTCCGAATCTCCCTGATAAATCTCTTAAACCCAATTTCTTCTACGGCCACCGTAAGCCGTCGCGTAACCGTCCCGTCGTCTACGGTGGTCTCTTCTCCAATCGCTCCAATCGCCAATCTCTCTCCCAGGATTCACCCCAACCGCAATCCAACTCCGTCGTCGGCCGAACGACTTTCGATCTCCGCAAATGGGACCCAGAAACCCATCTCCCTTCGGAAAGAGCTCCACCTTCGTCTCCTCCTTCCACGGTGATCTCCGCCGCCTCCGAACGCCTCTCCCCAATCGCGAGGTTCGTCCTCGACGCTTTCCGGAAGAATCGTAACCACTGGGGTCCCTCTGTGGTCTCTGAGCTCAACAAACTCCGCCGCGTCACGCCGAGCATCGTCGCCGAGGTTCTGAAAACAGGAAACGACGCTGCAGTCGCCGCCAAGTTCTTCCACTGGGCCGGTAAGCAAAAGGGGTATAAACACGATTTCTCCTCTTACAACGCCTTTGCCTATTGCCTTAATCGAACCGGAAACTTCCGCGCCGCCGATCAGTTGCCGGAGCTGATGGATTCTCAAGGAAGACCTCCATCGGAGAAACAATTCGAGATTCTGATCAGAATGCATTCGGATAACAAGAGAGGGTTAAGAGTTTATTTTACGTTTATGAGAAGATGAAGAAATTCGGATTCAAGGCTAGAGTCTTCTTGTACAATAGGATAATGGACGCTCTGATGAAAAATGGATACTTTGATTTAGCTTTAGCCGTTTATGAGGATTTTAAAGAAGATGGGTTGGTGGCGGAGAGTACCACTTTCATGATTTTGGCTAAAGGGTTATGTAAAGCTGGTCGTATGGAGGAAATGCTTGAGATTCTGCAGAGAATGAGAGACAATTTGTGTAAGCCTGACGTGTTTGCTTATACGGCGATGATCAAGATTCTTGTTTCTGAAGGGAATTTGGATGCAAGTTTGAGAGTTTGGGATGAGATGAAGCGTGATGAGATTAAACCTGATGTAATGGCGTATGGGACACTTGTTATGGGTCTGTGTAGAGACTAGAGACGGTAGAGTTGAGAGAGGGTATGAGTTGTTTGTGGAGATGAAGGAGAAGCAGATTTTGATTGATAGAGATATCTACAGGGTTTTGATTGAAGGGTTTGTAAGGGATGGTAAGGTAAGAGATGCTTGTGATCTGTGGAAGGATCTGGTGGATTCTGGGTATATAGCTGATTAGTGTGGAGCAGGTTGATAAAGCTTATAAGCTCTTCCAGATTGCAATGGAGGAAGAGCTTGAGCCGGATTTTGAGACTTTAAGTCCAATTATGGTTGGATTTGTGGTGATGAAGAGGCTGAGTGATTTCTTGAGTTTGGTAGAGCAAATTGGGAAGTTAGGATACCCTGTAGGAGATTGCATAACTGAGATTTTCAGATTGTTGTGTGATGATGAAGAGAAGAGAGCTATGGCTTTAGATGTTAATGATGTGTTAAAGAGTAACGGCCATGGAAGTGTCTCTGTGTACAACGTTCTCATGGAAGCTCTTTACAGGATGGGAGATATTCAAAAGTCTTTGTCACTTTTCAGTGAGATGAGGGATTTTGGGTTTGAGCCAGATTCATCATCGTACAGTATTGCGATTTGCTGTTTTGTTGAGAAAGGAGAAGTGGAAGAGGCTTGTTCATGTCATGAAAAGATCACTGAGATGTCGTGTGTTCCTTCTATAGCTGCTTATCTGTCACTTACTAAAGGACTCAGCCAAATCGGAGAGATTGATGCGGTGATGATATTAGTTCGTGAATGTTTAGGCAACGTTGAGAGTGGTCCTATGGAGTTTAAGTACGCTCTTAGGGTTTGTCATGTATGCAAAGGGAGTAGTAACGCAGAGAAGATTATAGAAGTAGTAGATGAGATGAAGCAAGAAGGTGTTTCTATCGGTGAAGTTACATATTCTGCGATTCTCTTTGCAGAGCTGAAGAAGCGCAAAGTTATGACGGAAGCTGAAATGGTAATGTATGATGAGATGTTAGTTGAGGAGACAAAGAAGAAGACTGCTGATTTGGTGGTTTCAGGGATCAAGTTTTTCGGTCTCGAGTCGAAACTAAGAGAAAGAGGTTGCAAACTACTCTGACAAATCATTCAGCTGCACAGGTGACTAAAAAGGAATGTGGTTTTCCCAAACTACTGCATTAAGCTCTTTTGGGCATTGGAAAATCTTGTATTGGTGACTTGTATTTGATGTTCCATGCAGTATAGATGGGTTTATCGTCTGCTCAAGAGCAAAGCTCTTAGATTGTTGGGTTTATCTGACTTGTTTTCAGCAATCACTTTTTGTGAAACCTAAAGCGAGTGGACATGATTACAATCACACAAGTGTCTGATATTTGTAGTCAAATAATTGCTGATCTTCCCTCTTCTCTTCTTCTCTCTTTCCAGATTCTCGATAGTAATCTCATCATCAATCTCCAGATCCCATTCAATAGGTATTTGCTGACGAACGATTCTTCCCTGTGAAAACTTGTTTCCAGCTCAATGAAACAACCGGAAAACAATACACATATGCAATTACGTTTAGCAAACTCACTATTTCACATGATACGGTTTTAAATTTTTTGGAGTATTAGTAATGAGTCATCTAAACCGTTGGATTAACTCACTATTTCACATGAGATGTTTCCAAAAAATTAACTTAAGAGAGAGACGTTAGATTCAAAATGAGTCATCTAAACCGTTGGATTAAAAAGGAGTCATCTGAACCGTTAGATTAAGTTTCCCTTTTCTTTTCTTCTTCCCTTTAAAACTCTGTTGGACTTCATTATTGCGAAAAAAAATTTAAAACGCTAATTACTTCTCTTTCCAGTGCCGACGCTTTCTTCCTTGGGGGAAATCACAAGATAAAGTGATTAACAGTGGCGGTTCACCGATCTCCCCACGAGAATTGGAATCGGAAATACTCTCTAGGGTTCCGGCCATACTAATCGAACCAACGACAAGAGCTTTCATCCGTCCATCGAGTTTACAGGTAAAGACTCGGAACATGCGTGATCTCTGATATATCTTTTGTTTTTCGATTTAATTCCGCATGAAACCTATTTTCACAATTGGAAAATTTCGTTTCATTCTTAGATTGGTGGTTTTCTATTTCTATTAGATCGCGAATTCAATTTTTTTTTAGGGTTTGATCTTTTTTAGGGTTTTCGTTTTTGATCGGTTCGATTCCGATTTTTTTTTGGGATTCGATCGTTTCTCTCGCATCGCAACCCTTGTTCATGGAGATTCCTCCTATATCCATCACCAACTTGTCTTTTTCTTCGAATATATTGGAAGACACCATTATAACTTTTTTTATTTGTAAAATCTCTCCCTCTCTGGCAGGTCGCTTGGTTGAATTAGTTGGTCGACAGACGAATTTGACTTCTCCGACACAAGGATATGTTATTTCCAATCGGATCATCCACTCTCTGCACCAAGGTCAGAAATTATCTAACTCTCCGGTGATTATGCTCTGTTTACTGGTTCGATTGTTGATTGAATTGTTTCGGTAGAATGCTGGTTTTGTTCAAAGACCGTAGATTTCAGAATTGGGATTTTATGAAAGTCGAAACCTTTACATGACTGGTGATAAAATACTTGGAAATTAGCAAGATTTGTATTCCAATGCATAAGGTTGCTACTTGCTAGTTGATCAATCGGTTTCATTAGCATTGCGTTCCTCTAGATTTTAGCGGATGAGGATTTCCTAAGTGTTTTCTAATGGTGGAATTGGAAAATTTTCGTTGTCAGGTAGCTGCGAGATTGCTAGGCACTGGAAATGGAAAGCGAAGAGTGTGAGTACAAGTACGAGAATTAGTGGCTCCTTTGCTGCCTCTAGTTATACCACATGAGGAACTTACTTGGTCTTTGATGTGGGTGATGCTAATTTGTGACCTGAAGTCACATGACAAGGTAATTAAGGCTGGTCATCCTTTAGCCCCCAACAGATCATAGGCATACACTAATCTAATAGTGTTTTTGTCAGATTCATGTTGGGGAACATTGTCCCGTTTGGTCAATCTTACTGGTTGGTAGTGCATGCCTAATCAAAGGAAGTTAAAGAATGGATCATATGCAGACACTTCCTTTGATGTTTCTGTTTTCCCTTTAGCCCCAACAGATCATATGCATACACTAATCTAATAGTGTTGTGTGTCAGATTCTTGTTGGGGACATTGTCCCGTTGGTTGGTAGTGCATGTCGAAGCAAAGGAAAGTCAGGGGATGGAAACTAAAACACACGGCTTGAAAGTCTTTTAGAGAAAGACTATGGGTTTGTTGCGTTGGATGGATAAAGTCTTTAGACTTGTTGGAAGAGATTCATGAATGATGGCTTAAAGTCTAAGACTATAAAACTGTTACATACCCACGGCTTGAGAAAAGTAGTGAATCCGTTACTCTACCCACGGCTTAAAAGTCTTTAGACAAAAGACTGAACGGATTCACTACTTTACTATAATACCCACGGCTTATCAAAAGTCTTAAGACTATAAACAGTCAGATTCTTTTGGGGACAATGACCCGTTTGATTGGTTGGTAGTGCATGCACAAAGGAATGGTGAAGAATAACATGACCGATGGCTTAAAGTCTAAGGACTATAAATTACATACCCACGGCTTGAGAAAAGTAGTGAATCCGTTACTTACCCTCGACTTAAAAGTCTTTAGACAAAAGACTGAACGGATTCACTACTTTACTACCCACGGCTTATCAAAAGTCTTAAAGACTATAAAAAGTGAGAATGTCTCGTTTGATTGGTTGGTAGTGCATGCTTAAATGTCTTTAGCAAAAGACTGATGAGTCTACGGACTATAAAATGGTGAAGAATAACATGACCGATGGCTTAAAGTCTAAGGACTATAAATTACAAACCCACGGCTTGAGAAAAGTAGTGAATCCGTTACTTACCCTCGGCTTAAAAGTCTTTAGACAAAAGACTGAACGGATTCACTACTTTACTACACCCACGGCTTATCAAAAGTCTTAAAGACTATAAAAAAGTGAGAATGTCCCGTTTGATTGGTTGGTAGTGCATGCTTAAATGTCTTTAGCAAAAGACTGATGAGTCTACGGACTATAAAATGGTGAAGAATAACATGACCGATGGCTTAAAGTCTAAGAACTATAAATTACATACCCACGGCTTGAGAAAAGTAGTGAATCCGTTACTTACCCTCGGCTTAAAAGTCTTTAGACAAAAGACTGAACGGATTCACTACTTTACTACCCACGGCTTATCAAAAGTCTTAAGACTATAAACAGGCAGATTCTTGTCTGGGGACAATGACCCGTTTGATTGGTTGGTATTGCATGCGCAAAGGATGTTAAAGGAATGGAAAATAAAACTATGGGTTGGTTGGTAGTGCATGCTTAAAGAAGTCTTAAAAACAGAGACTATGACCCATAAACACAAGGCTAAAGCCCTTAGACAACTAACGATCAAAGGCTGGGAATTTCTCAAAGACAAAGACTAGGGGCAGATTCTCGGCTTGTTGGATGGAAGAAGGACCAAATGCTTAAAGAAGTCTTAAGCTAGTACCCACGGCTTAGAGAAAGTAGTGAAACCACTGCTTCACTTGTACCCACGGCTTGAAAATAGGTTTAAGACAAAGACGATGAACTGGTTTGGATGGTAAACATGACCAGTCTAAAGACCAGAAACTGGAGAAAATGACCCGCGACTTAAAAGTCTCTTGAGGCAGAGACTTGTTACTTGTGCCCACGACTGAAAAGTCTTTAGAAAAAGACTATGTCCCGTTTTTTGATTCTTTGAATTGAAAATACAACTCACGTCTTGAAAGACTATGAGTAAAAAACGGATTCATGATCTGTATGAAACTAACAAGGTAAATACGAGATATTTAACTTGAAGTAAAGACTAACTAATTCTGAATTTCTGATTTCCTCAGGTATGTGATTATAGAAGGTGTTCAATTTGCTAGAGACTTTGAGGAGATTTCAAGTGTAGAAGACTTCTTTAGCAGGTATTTGCTTTCCGAACTTGTTAGTAGTTTAGTTGATTCAGTTCTTAAAATCTTGCTCGTTCAGGTTTGTCCTTCTCAATTTTTTTTTTGCAATAATTATAAAAATACAAAACTGGAGACTAACTGAGTTGTTCAGGTGAGTTTTTCAGGTATATGCTACAAAGGTGTTCATATTCTCCTTGGAAGCCAAAGAGATTTCTCATGGTAGCGAGATTCTGTGATCAGGTATAAACTTTTCTGGACTTTCCTGTATTACATATGAGAATCACAAACTAATTTAAGTTGGGAATAATGATCTAAGCGCCATTTATTGTTAGAAATTTCTCTTGCATAGATTAACATCGTTACATATGAAAATCACAAGCTAAGTTGGGTGATATATATTTAAAGTTAGAATTAATGACCAAAGCGTCATTATAGTTATAAATATTTCTTAAATAACTCTCTTTGATAACATTACTAACATTCTTAAACATAGAGCTGCTTGATCTAGTTTTTCTCAGATTCGATAAACTTATTGCTATCCATTGGTAAAAAGCTATATTTTACTTTTGGTATTGAACATTAGATTGTGTGTTTACAGTGTGAGCAGTCTCTATCTTGATTTTAGAAGGACGCATTGTTAAATATCTGTTTTAGAGCTTGTATTTATCACAAGGTCTCTAGTTTTTTGAAGTATATGTATCTTGAATGCATGTAAGACACATGTATATTATGGTAGTAATTTCTTTGAATCTTGGTACTTAAATGTTTTGCATTACACTATTAACCTTTGGTGACTAAATCATTGCAATTATAACATCTGTTGCAGATGATCTTCATCATAGACTGATGACTAATGGACAAGAAAAAACTGTTTATTGTTGATTGTTTGTTTAGTTAAAATGGACAATTTGATTTCCATGTTAGTTTTGTTGGTGTGTTAGATTAATAAGATATGTCTGGACATCTGGTGAACACATTTCTTTTATGCTGGTTGTCTCGTCTGGTTGTTTGTTCTTTGTTAATACCGATTGTGATCTTTACTTCCTTGGTACGAGTCGTGGGATGGTACCATCTTGAATTTTTGCTTCTTGAAATTGTTAGTGGTAAATTTATCTTAAATGTCTCTCAA